CAGAAACACATTAATCAACCCAGAAATGGGTGTTGTAGGGAACCTCACTTTATAACCAGTTGGTCAGAAACAAAACAACCAAAGGATTGTAGCTGGCTTCTGAAGGCAGGGGACAGTCTTGGGACTGAGCATGCAACCCCTGGATGCTATTTTCTGGGTAGCATTCAAATTAATTTGAATTAGGCTAGCTAGCCAATCCCTCTTGAAATTCTTTTGCTTAGTTGGTGTGTGAATAACACACAGAGACAGGCAGTTAGTATCAAGAGTGCTCTGTGTTGTTTTGAGTTTCTTTCCCCAAAACAGAGCAGAGTTCAGCTACCCTGGGGCACCTGAATCAAGGAACTATGAAGCTCTTTGTCCAGCCTCAGGAAAAGAAAAGGAAATATTTGATGGGGAAAGGGCAGCCTGGGGAGTGGGGGGTGTTAATCTCCCTGAAAAGACAATCATCCTGGCTCTGAAGAGAAAAAACACACCTGAACAGATTCTAAAAGGAAGAATTTAACCCTGTAATAAAGGTGAAATTCTGGTGAGAAAGCGGAGACATAGCTTTGGAGCTCCTTGGTGTCCAGCAGGTGGCGATCAAATCTAAGATGGCCCGAGGCTGCACTGGAAATCACCATGGAGAAGTAGCCTGTGAAAACATAAGCATCCTGAGTGAGGTATGTACTCACTCATATATGGATTTTAGACATAGAGCAAAGGATCACCAGCCTATAATTCACAATGCCAGAGAAACTAGGATACAAGGAGGAACCTAAGGGATTCATACAAGGTCCCTCACAGAAGGTGAGAGGAACAAGATCTCCTAAGCAAAGGGGGTTGGGGGCAGTGAGTGAAGAGGGAGCTAGGAGAAAGAGAAGGGGAAGAGAGGAGAACATGTGGGACTAGGAAGATTGAGTCAGGGGATGAATAGACGAGCAAATAAATAAATAGAGAGATACCATAATAGAGGGAGCCATTATAAGTTTGAAGAGAAAACTGACTCTAGAGAGATGTCCAACTAACAATCTGAGCAACAGTGGAGAGGCTACCTTAAATGCCTTTCCCTGATAATGAGATTGATAACTAACTTATATGCCATCAAAGAGCCCTCATCTAGTAGCTGATGGAAACAGAAGCAGACACCCACAGATAAACACTGAGCCTAACTCCTGGAATCCAGTTGCAGAGAGGGAGGAGTGGTAAGAAAATGAGGTCAAGACCAGGCTACAGAAACCCACAGAAACAGCTGACCTGAACAAGGGGGAGCTGCTCATGGACCCCCCCAGACTGATAGCTGAGAAACCAGCATTGGACCGACTCAGACCCCCTGAACATGGGTCTCAGTTAGAAGGCCTGGGCACTCTAAGGGACCTCTGACAGTGGAACCAGGATGTATCCCTAGTGCATGAAAGGACTTTGGGAGCACATTCCCCATGGAGGGATAGTCCCTTATTAGAGGCAGGAGGGAGGGTCTAGTCCCTACTCCAAATGACTTGACAGATTATGATGATCCCTCCTAGAAGGCATCACCCTCCCTGTGGAGGGGGGGTGGGATGGGGGAAAAGGGGTATGGAAGGGAGAGGGAACTGGGATCAATATGTAAAACAAGAAATATATATATATATATATATATTTGTATATATTTATATACATATATATATATATATATATACATATATTGTGCTTTGTAGTGTGTTCATCCTAATACCCAAACTTCATTTCACTTCCCTTAGAAATGTTGCCCTCTTGGGCTATGGGCATAGCTTAGTTGGTAGAGTACACAAAGCCCTAGGTTCAATTCCCAAGGCTCCATAAACTAAACACGATAGCACATGCCTGTAATCCCAGCACTTGGGAGGTAGAGTGAAGCTCAAAACTTCAAGGTCATCCTTAGCTAAATAAGTTAGAGGATAGCCTGGGATGTCAGCAGTGGTGGTGCATACCTTTAAGCCCAGAACTCAGGAGACAGAAGCAAGTAGATCTCTGAATTCAAGACCAACCTGATCTACAGATGGAGTTCCAGAACAGCCAGGACTACCCAGAGTTTTTTAAAAAGGTAAACATAGAGACATTTGAAAAGCTTTCCTAAGGCACAGACTCAGGGCTGTCCATAGATTCTAGGTTGGCAGTAGGGTATTCTCACTCCTGACAATCTGGAAATGCCAGTGTCTTTCTTTTAATTTTTTTTTTGTGTGTGTGTGTGTGTGTGTGTGGTATAAGCATGATACATATGTAGAGAAGTTTGCATGCCACAGCCAAAGTGTCCTTTGTTTTTCAATTTGTGTACATGGGATACACACATGCCATGGTGCACATGAGGAAGTCAGATGACAACTTATAGGATTCAGTTCTCTTCTTCTACCATGTGGGTCCTAGTATTTGAACCCAGGCTATCAGACTTGGCAGCAGGTGCCTCTACCCACTTAGCTGTCTCACAGCCCACAGTGAGAATAGTACACAAATGTAATGCATTTTGACCAAGTCCACACCCTTCCCTTCCCTCCAACTCTTATCCTACCCTGCCATCACTTCTCCTGATCAGTTTTAAGTGCCAGCCCACTCGAAAGCTCTCTCAATCTCTTTTTTGTTTCTTTGGTTTTGGCTTTTGTCTCTGTTTTTGATAGAGTCTCACTATATAGTCCTGGCTTGTCTGGAATTCTCTGTGTAGAGCAGACCTCAAACTCTAGAGATCTGCCTGCTTCTGACTCCAAGTGCTAAGATCAAAGGTGTGCACCACCATGCCTGGCCTTTTTTTTTTTTTTTTTAACCACTGAGTGTAGTTTGTGATGCCTTTGTGTATGTGAATATAGGATAATCTACTAGAACATAAATAGCATCTAAAGGTTCATATTCCTAAAGGATGCTGACTCTCCTTCCCCCAACAGCCACCAATTGTAGTAGCTCCTCAGGAATAGAAATTCCTTACCTACCTCCATCTGTGCTGAGATTTTGATTGGCTTGATCTTGTACAGGCATTATGCAAGCAGTCACAGCTTCTATGAGTTCATGTGTATAAAGACCCTGTCATGTCCAACAAATATGGTTTCACTTCAGACGTCACTACCTCTGGCTCCTAAAATCTTTCTGCCCAGTCACTTACAATGAATAATCCCTGAGCTCTGGGGAAAGGGAGTGTAACCTAACTGTTCCGTTTAGCAGTCAACAGTCTTAGCCTTTGCACACTGACCAGCTGTGGTCTCTGTATTAGTCATCATCTACTATAAAAAGAAGCTTCTCTGGTAAGGAATGGGAAATGAAGTACTCTGTGCATGTGAAAATAAGAGCTTGAGGTGGGGGTTAGTACTGTGTCTATTAACACAGTGATAGCATTATGTTCTCCCTAGGGCCAATCACTTAGCTATCATGGATATATTTTTTTTGGCCCAGTTAACAGTACTAGTTCCATCTTATGGATTGGGTTTTAGATCCAAAAAGTAATTGGTCACTCCGACAGCATCTGTGCTGCTAGTGCACCAGAGGACATAAATTGCCAGGCCAGTCACTAACGAGTTTACAGGGCTCACTGCTGGGTAAGACTTGGTTAACCATTTTTCTCCGCTAGTAGTGTACATAGTTCCTTTTAGTACTGTGAAACGGTGTGAATAGAGGTTCCAGGTGAATACCAGCTTGAATTCTCCATGACCTACAACTCAAGTATGTGGTATCTCCAGCAATGTGGCATTATCATCAAGTTCTGAAGGGTAACCATGGTAGCTTGAAGAAGAATGGCCCCCATAGTCTCATGTATTCAGATGCTCAGGAAATGGCACTATTTAAAAGGATAAGGAGGTGTGTGTGGCCTTATTGGAGGAAGTGCATCACTGACTGGACTTTGAGGTTTCAAAAGCCCAAGTCAGGCCCAGTGGCTCTTTCTCCCTACTGCCTATGGACCCAAATATGGAACCCTCAGCTTCTCCTTCAGCATCATGTCTGCCTGCATGCACTAAACTTCTGAACCCGTAGGTAAGCCCCCACTAGATGCTTTCTTTTGTAAAAGTTGCTGTGGTCATGGTGTTTCTTCACAGCAATAGAATATAGACTGAGATAGTAACAAAGAGCAATGGCAGTAGCCTATAATGTTTGGGTGGGGGTTAGAGGACCCCACTGACCAACAATTCAAAATAAGGTAATCTATATCTTCAGTGCCAAATCCCTTAAGTCTGTATAAAAATTGCCCTCCTGATACTCACACATACAAGTCTAAGAGTTTCAAACCAGGACCAGCTGGTGCAGTGTAGGTCTACAGTCAGCCACCTGGCATTCATGGACAGCAGGCCTCAAATTAATACATAGGCATTTTGCTTGCCTGTGGGCACAAGGCCATTGCGACCAGTTGGGTACAACCAGCCTGCCAAGGTGGAAGGGATTCCACGGATTGTGTCTGTCAGCTTTCCTACCACAAACTGAATGAGACAGGAGCTCGCTCTTGATGTGAAAAAATTACTCAATTTCTAGTTGCAAGCAGCTGGCAAACAGAGACCAGGAAAGGGAGCAGTGCTCTGCCTGAGGACAGTGGAAAAGCCACTCTCTTTTCTGTTGTGAGACAAAAGTCTGGATGTTGGAAATGCCATTGAACTCTGGATCCTTCTGCCTCCAAGTGCTAACCTGCACTACCACTCCAGCAAAATACCTGAAATCTATCCCATATTTGTTGTGTGACTGCAGGAAAGTTGTTTCCTTTTCTAGGCCTCTTTCCCTGTCAAATGATGGCATTGGAGTAGTAGATGGTATCTCTTTCTCCCTCCAGCACCTGCTCTTCAAATGAGAAGTGAGTGCTGAAGGTATCTAGTCTAGCACCAGCAGAATCACATCAGAAGCTGTGTCTAAACTAAGGGAACTGGATACCATGAGAGTGGGGAAATAAAAGTTCTGACCTCCCAATGCCCTACTCCCATAATCTCTATTCCCACCGCTGAGCATCCATTAAAGAGAAGTGAAGATCACAAGTCAGATCTACTATCTCTTCTGTATGTTGACAAGGCCAAGGGCTTGAGTTAGCCTTAAAAAAAGAAAGAGTAGTGATCACTTCAGCAGCACAATACAAAAATTGAAATGATACAGAGAAGATTAGCATGGCCCCTGTGCAAGGATGACATGAAATTCATGAAGTGTTCCATATTTTAAAAAGAATAAAGCTACTGTTGCAAACAGAGACTCTGGATGCTTGTCTGGGTAGCCTCTACTGTGTATGTTAAGTCAGACCTCTGCCCCATTTACCTCCTGGAGCTGCCCTTCTTTGCCAGTCTCTACCCATTCACAATCACATTAGCTGACAATATCCATCTGTCCTTGTGAAAGGACCTGGGATGTCACCTTTGAAAAAAAAAAAAAGTTTACATTCCCTTTACTTCTCCTTCCTTTGCCCAGGTGAGCCTCCATAAAACATTAGGAACCTTCCACTTGGTAGAGCTTTTCCTCTGTACCCAGTCTTAAGAAGGTATCCCATGTTAAGTGCTGAGAACAAAGTTTGGGGAGATTCCAGTATGACAAATAACAATACTCATCTGTTCTCACCACCCTGGGAAATCTTCAGCCTCAAGGAAGAAAATTCGATCAAAAGGAATGTCAATTTACCTGTCATTTCTCCCAGCTGTTTCTGTATACTCTGATCTTTTCACGGGAGGGGCAGTTCGTGCAATAATTTGAGGCAAAATAAGTTTAAGGCATGAGCCTTAAACTTTCAAGGAATGTATAATCTATACTAGTTATTGGTGTATAATGTTATATCCAACTCTATTTATATAAAACAATGAATATTCTCTCTCAGTATCAGTGAGCCAAGAATTCAAAAGCAGCTGGAATATGTTTATCTACAATGCATGGTTAGGTCCTCTATTCCAAATTACTGGGGTTGGTGGCATGTGCCTGTAATCCCAGCACTCAGGGAAATTGAAACAGGAAGATCAAAGTCACAGTAAAAACAGGCAAGGTTCTATCATGATACCTAAGATCTTGACTCAAATAATTCAAGAGCAGAGTAGCTGGGTGGTTCTAGCTTAGTATCTTTCAAAACATTGTAGTCAAGTTATATAGGCGGGCCAGGTGTAGTGGCATACACCTTTAGTCCCAGCACTCAAGAGGCATAGGCAGGAAGATCTCTGTGAGTTTGAGGCCAGCTTGGTCTACAGAGTGATTTCCTGAACAGCCAGGGCTACACAGAAAAAGCCTTTCTCAAAAAACAAAACAAAGTACTTATTGTACTTATTATTTAATGTGCATGAGTGTTTTGCCTGTGTGTACATACATATATGCAGCACACATGTGTCTGGTGTCCCCCAGGGTCTGAAGAGGGCACTGGATCCCCTAGGACTTGAAATAGAGATGGTTGTGAGCTGCCATGTGAGCGCTGGGAATTGAACCCAGGTTCTCTGCAAGAACAAATGCTATTAACCACTAAGCCAAATCTCCAGCCACCACCACCCGGCCTAGTTTTCTTTTTTTAGAAGAGGTCCCATGGAGCCCAAACTGGCCCTAAACTCAATATATAGCTAAAGTGACCCGAGCCTCCTGCCTTGATCTCCCAAGTGCAGGGATTAGAGGCATGTACCACCATTACATCCTATATGAGTGGGGAGTTGGGAATCAAACTTGGGACTTCATACATCCTTATTAAACAACTGAGATATATTTCCAGCCCTTTCAATATTCTTTTAAAGGCAATGTGTTCAAATATTTTACTAATTAAGCAATGTACTAGGTCATGAGTAAATGGAAGTACAAACAACTTTTACCTTCCAGAACCTGGTGTAGTGAAGGAGACAGTGTTGTGATTTGTGCTATGGAGTGCTGGGTAAGGGTCAGTGATATCTGTGCTGAGAACTGGGCTATGAAACACAGTTTGTCACGTTCAGAACAAGCACCTCAGACTTTGAATGGATTTCAGTCTGTCAGCATTGTCATTGCACTTTGAAGTCTTTGAAAAAAGTATGTCTCTGTTTTAAGATGAATATATTGAGAACACAGATTACATAACTTGACAGTGTGTTTCGTTTTGGTTTTTCAAGACAGGGTTGTAGCCCTGGCTGTCCTGGAACTTGCTCTGTAGACCAGGATTGCCTCAAACTCAGAGATCCACCTGTCTCTGCCTGCAGAGTATTGGAATTAAAGGCCTGCACGACCACACCCAGCTTGACACTGGCTTTTTTTAGACAAGAGTACATAGTTCAGGGTGGTATGGAACTCTCAGGCCCGTCTCAGTCTCTTGAGTGCTAGGATTCTAGGTGTATATCACCATACCAATCTATTAAATTGCAGAGTCAGCATTCAAATTCATCCTGTTTCTAATATAACAGACATATTTTCTGCGCAAAATAAAATCACATTAACAACAAATATCAACATTAAGAATTCTATGAGTCAAGGAGTGGTGGTGCATGCCTTTAAAGCAGCACTTGGGGCCAGAGACAGGCAGATCTCTGTGAGTTCAAGGATAGCCAGAGCTACACAGAGAAACCCTATCTCAAAATAAATAAATAAATAAAAATATAAAAGAAAGAATTCTATGTATGATTGGACATGTGGTGAATGCCTTTAATCTCTTCACTTGGAGACAGAGACAAGCAGATCTGGGTGAGATCCTGTCTCAAAAAAAAAAAAAATCTATGGGGCATGTTGATCAACAGCCATGGCTCATCGGTTAAGAGCACTTGCTGCTGGGTGGGGGTGGGGGGGCTGGAAAGATAGCTCAGCAGTTAAGAGCACTGAACATTCAGAGGTCCTGAGTTCAATTCCCAGCAACCACATGGCGGCTCACAACCATCTCTAGTGGGATCTGATAGCCTCTTCTGATGTAAAATGTACATTCAGATAGAGCACTCATATACGTAAAATAAATAAATGAATCTTAAAAAAAAAAAAAAAAAAAGAGCCCTTGCTGCCCTTCCAGAAGACCCATGTTTGTTCCCACATGGTGGCTTACAATCGCAACCATCTGTAACTCCTGTTCCAGGGGATCCAATGCCCTCTCCTGGTCCCAGTCCCAGGCATGCACATACAGTACACATAAATACAGGCAGGCAAAACACTTATACACACAAAAAAAATCTTTTTTAAAAAAGAATTCTAAGCAATCTTTTTCCATAAAATATTTATAGTTGCTCTGTCAAATATACATTCAGATGAATTCAGTTTTTAAATTTCATAGGAACGCTATAAATACCCTGGGTGATTAAGTGGTAGACTGTGCAGTGTAGACAACAAGGGCAAGACTTGCAAAGAGGGGACCTGCTGAAAGTTAAGATGAACTGAGGAACCTGTGCGGGCCTTCATTGGCCTGGACAACAAAGATGACTGTACATACCAGCCCTGGAATCAAAGGAGCAAGGCTAACAATAAATAGGGCGCATTGGTGAGACAGTCCTCTACCCATATGGCCAGCTGGAAAGCAGTTGTCTGATTCTCTCAGCTAAAAGCAGGAGGACAGGAAGACGTGGAGGGTGGAGGGCCTCCATGTCAGTTCACCTAGTTAAAGCCCTGGCAGCAGAGGCCATACCCTCCCACTGACTTTCCTCCCTTTCTCCTACTCTCTCTCTTTCTGTGTTTTTCTACATAACATCCGCAGCTGTTCTAGAACTCACTTTATAGACCAGGCTGGCTTCGAACTCACAGAGATCCACCTGCCTCTACCTCCGGAGTGCTGGGACTAAAGGCGTGCACCACCACCATCCAGCCCATTCTTTCTCTTTGTTCTTGTAATGAGGTTTCACTATATAGCCAAGGCTGGCCTGAAACTCATGATCCTCCTACCTTAACCTCAGCTCACTCACTCCCCTTTTCTAGTAACATATTCCAACATCCCAAGATCTCCATTCTCCCATCTAACCATACTGTCACCTTTCATATTAAGAGGCTAGACTTGGGGGGGTAAGGGGCTGTACCAAAGCTTCTGGTCTCCTAGAACACAAGAGAACAATTTAAGGAACAAATAGACCAAACAAAAATAAAAGCGTGTTTGCCATAATATCAAAGTGCCAGTGTCATACCATATAGGGTATAGGGAGACATGACCACCTTCATGTGGCAGAGGATGCCAGGCTGGACTAAATCACCTGGAAATGGGCCCCTCCCCCACTAGTGAGCAATAAGTGGGAAGCCAACCAAAGCAAATTAGGAGCTGCTATGGGGTCAGACAGGATCCAGCAGCCTGGACCCATGCCAGCGGAAAAAAGCCATTGTCTGAGTTGCTTTCTGGACTTCCTGCCCTCAAATACCTCCCCCTCCCAAAATACACAATCCAATGCCTCCTACTCTGCCTCCCCAATGCCACGGTGAGGAGGCCATGCCCATATAAGACAACAGACCATTGAGGGTCTCCAATGAGAAGAAAGATCATCCAGCCACAGTATAGGGTCACAGGAGAAGTATGTTTCCCAACCTCAGTATTCTGAGGTCCTGCTCTCTCTCAGTCCCCACTCATTTCTGGTTCTACTCATCCAGAACGTGGACTTTCCCAGCTGAAGTGAGCAACAGTTGGGTGGCACGGAGTGTTTCTCTGAAGGCATCAGTCTTTTAAGCATGCCCCAGTGGTTTTGTACCTGAGGGAAGATTCAGCAGACTGGGTGTGGCTGAGAGTCTTGTCTGGGATGAGGAATCTCCAATTCACTGGGATTGGGGGGGGGGGCTTGTGGGAGGAAGAGGGTGTCAGGGTCTAGACTAAGCTGGAATTGAACTTGCAGTGATCCTTCAGCCTCCACCTCCCAATGCTGGAATTACAGGAGCATACCAACACACAAGGCTTTCAAATCCACTTTCACTGTGATCCACACACACCCAGCCCTTCCAACCCAACCCTGACCCATCAGGATCCAATAGGAACCTGTTTCCCACTCCCTGCTGATTCCCATTCCCAGTCACTTCTTCCAGCCCCAGGGCCCCACCTCCATTCACGCACTCCTCTGGCAAGCTAACTGAACTGTTGGCTGGGAGCTGCACTCAAAGCGGAAATGGGCAGTTGGGAGGTGTGATTTATGTCTCTGACTTCACCCCAGGCTGGAGCCCAAAAACACCCTCCTCCAAATGCCCTTTTGGCAAATTTTCTCTCCCTCAAAAACCTCAGGCTCTTCTAGCTGGTCATAGGTCACCAAATAAACCACCTCATCCACAATCCTAGCAACAGGGTGACCTT